CTATCGTGCGCATTCTGGAGTATGATAGGCACTTCACTTCCAGCTGCACAAAGTGCCCAAGACTCACCGTTCTCCAGATAGTGTAGGGCATCATCAAAGATTCTGTATCGCAGCACCAGTCGTTTCATCATTCTTCGCYGCCCGTCTTCCACGCTGCTCAGACCCCTAAGCAGAGTTGATATGATCTCGGAGTACCAGGACTCAAGTTCCCAATGCCCGATGTCCAGCTTCCCAGAGCTGGCAATCAACTGTTTCCCGGGTGGTCTGTCTCCAGGCAGAATTGTGTTCGCCGAAAGTTCCATTGGCGGAGTCACTCCTAGAACTCGTTCGATCCCAGTCTGAGTTCGACTGGCTTGGCGTCTTCCTTCTGCGCCTCTGGCAAGCGCGGCATTTCATCTGCCAGGCGCATCACTTTGTCCGTGCACGAACGGTGTCTATACTCAATGTCGTATTCCCCGAGGATTTGATCCAGCGGCTGATCTTGCCGTGGAGATGCCCTCTGTTCGCCATCGAGTCCGCAATGCCTTTGTGATCCGTGTAGACTTTCACTGGATGTGAGGAATGGTTGATTGGTTGGGAGGTAATAGACCTGCATGCTTGAGATGGTTCCATGGCGAGAAAGGTTGACCCCTTCAAGGTCGATAAAAATGGAAGGCGGAACTGCTGGAGGTCCATCAAGAAAGTCGACAAGTTGTGCTATCGCAGTCGCGTTGTTCACGAAGATTATGACTGGTTTATCTTCGAGCCTGACACTCGACAATCTTTGCGTAACTGTGTCTAGAACCGATGCCATGTCCTGCCAATGCTCAGTAACGTACTTTGAGAATTGGTGACTTGATCCTTCAATACGTTCAACGAGCCAGAGGACCGCACTTAATACATACGGGTATATCCTATTTTAACAGCTGTTGAGAGCTTTGTTACTGGATGGACAAATTTGAAGAGGGACTTCTGTTTAGGAAAGGTGGTAACACATAATCTGCTAGGCTTGTATGCAAGAATTTCTGCTTCTGTGGAGGATCAGAATATGTAAAGTTCTCGACCTACATTAATTAAGGTTGGCCCAGAAGTCAGGGCGTCTGCTTCTCTTAATACCATGACTTTCGACGAGAGCGAGAAGCAAAATGCAGTCCGTCAGTAAATCCCACCATTGACTCATTGTAAATCAACCAATGTCAGGCCGTTAGCACGACAATCTCGTGTGTAGTGCTGATTGGCTCTCCGTGTTGTCTCTTTTCCCTTTTCGTGGAGGTGAAACCAGATCATTGATCACTGTGGGAGACAGTCTTGACGCGTTACCTTCGTATGTTGGCTGATATGAAGAATGAGGCCAGATACAGATGGAATAGTTGACTCACATACGTGGCGTCTGAGCATTCCTACCATGCATTATATAAATGCCGTAATTAGTCGGGCAGGTACATTGGGCGCAGATGAAAACAGACGTGACTGTATAGCTCAAGCCGTACCGACAGATGCAGGGCTTGATACAGCCTCCACAACCAATACCCTTGCAGCTCTCCCTACTCAAGCGACCTCGCTTGAAATTAATTGACTTGGCTGCTGTGAAGTATAGTGCCATGAGCCTTCTTCTATTCCACCATGTGAGCAGTACCTCTATGAGATATAGTAGGCTATTTTCTACAGAGGAAGGAAGAACATATAGTAGGACTGATTAAAGCTAGTTAGAACTTCTACAAACAAGCGTCTACAGAGAAGACAAATCTTCTATTATTGCTCCTCACTTATTTAACTTATGGCACAGCTGAGTGCGACTTCTACTTGTCACCACTACAAAATGAGGCCTGCTGTGGCGCAGTTGAGTGCGACCTCTTCTATGTTTCCATTACTACAAGCTGCCTGCTTGGATTGGTTGGGTGCACCAGCGACCAACATCGACCATCAAGACATAGCGATCCGGGGACTCCAACAATAACTATCCGAATTTGCATCCAGCTGTACAGACGGAACACTTGTCGCTTTAATGACGTCGTTGTTATTCTGGTTCATGGGTGCCCTTGGCCATCTGGTAGTGAAATCGGTAGAATTGCATAATGGGAAGCAGCTGCATATTTTCAACCCCCATGGATAACAAATAATAGGCCGCATCTACTCGGACTAATGCATTCATCCCTGAATTATGCTGTGTGAGTCTCGGAAGCTCTCGACTCCGTCTTGGATTGAGCGCTAAGTAGGGCGGGGTAGTGAGACATGCAGGACGAAGAAGGGCAACAAGCTCGAATACGAAGCATATGCCACTTGGCACCTGTCAATTAAGACAGGACCGGGTGCCAAGAGTCAAGAGTGGCGAGCTGAAAAGTCAAGATAAGCAGCCAGCCTTTGCCACTCCACCACTCAGCATGAAATTCTTCTAGTCTAGATCGGCCCGTCCTGGCAAAAATTGTCTAGTAGCCAGGTAGAAGGGCTACGTTAGCTGGCTGACGTGATGGCGGAGAGCCCTCGGCGTATTTCATTCGAGATGGCGAAGCGCTACACGGTGGATTTTTGGTTTGTGAGGGGCGATTTGAACTGGTCTCTGCAAAGAATCCCAGGACCCAGTGACGTGAACTGAGAGGTGGGGCTAGAAAAGTGGGAGCAGCGTGTCCGCGATTGGTTTAACGTATTTAATAAGCGAGCGACGCACTACCCTATACACCTTAAACCCGGTTTTTAAAAAAACTCTTGAAAAATCCAAACTAAGCCTAAAATAGCTATAATTCTAACAGCATATATATAACCATTAAAATAAGTTATCGTCTTTCCTTTAAAAATCTCAGAAAATCCTATATAGCTATTAACTTTAAAGTCGTCTATTCACAGTGTAAAATACACTGAATGATTAAGTATTTCTTTATAAAGAAATTTCTTAAAATCTAGGGAAAATATATAACATAGCTATTATTATACTATTACTAAAAATACTTTTTTTCATATTTTTATCTGTTTTATTTAAGGTGTAAACTACTATGGAGTAAGCTATTTTTAGCTGTACAGAGCAGTGCGTCGCTCGCTTATTCCTTTGACGACTGGGTGGCTGGTGGCCAGAGATAAGGATGTATGGAGGGAATTACGTGTATTGTTGTTGGCTGATCGGCACAAGGATTCTCGAAGCTTCCGCCGCTCATCACGTGCTAAGGCGATATGTCTCCGTTGTTTGATTTGCAAAGCTGCCTGTAGATTCAACATATGCCCAGAGGAGGTCAACGATAATGAGCGCGAAGCTTGCCAAAGACTTCGCGGCGTTCCAAACTGTAGAAGAGGGGCAGTCGGCCCGGTTGCAGGTAATTTTGACGCATTCCCGTCCCACAATCATTCGGCACGATACTTAAACGATATAGGACTTGAGTAGTCAACTCGAAAACTTGATTGGCAAGTATGATGACGCCGTGCGGGATCTTGAAAGTGAAAAGGTTGCGCGGCGTTTTTCTCAACAGGACGCAGATAAGGCGCGATCCAAAATTGAAGAATTGCAGCAATCCATGGTACGATTTAATCGATAGCATGTTTCACTATACCTAACCAGTTCTAGGAGCGCAGCTCATTTGTTCTAGTCTTAATCGATGCTGATGCCGACCCATATATTGTATGGAGTATAAATCTCTGACATAACGGTTTGTTGACCGATCCCAGTTTAAAGACGAGTATTACGCCGCCGGTGACGGCGGTAGAAAGGCGTCTCTTGCTCTACGAGACGGTGTTCGCAGCTTTCTTCAGACGAACAGACCAGAACAGGCCAATTACCCCATACTTATCAAGGCATATGCCAATGAACTTGGTTTGTCTCAGTTTCTCGTTGCACGCGGCGTTATTAAGGCGCCCCGTGATCTTGTCGAATTCGCAAAAGACTTCACCCAGGCCCTCGAGAATACCGACTTCGTGCTAGTCGGGAGTGGCAAGGATCGAGCAGATAAGAAGATTCAAGGTAAGCGTCACAACTCGTGCCACTTTTACCACTATCCTGGCTCACACAGAAGCAGGTACTTTCAAGCAGTTCGTCAGCAATCCTACCTGTCGCCATATCATCTTCGGGGCTTGTCATGATAATTCTTATGTGCGACTGCTGGAGGATTATGTTCATGATAGTTCTGTGGTTGATCGAGTTACTCTTCTTCACGGTTTTAACGTTGGGCGCGAATTCCGTGATCTGAAATTTAAATGTTTCAAGATGGAAAGTCTGTTTCAAGTCGGACCGGCGCAGAACATGGCGCCATCGCCACAGCCATTAGCGTCCGTTTCAACTCCTTCGACCTGGGCATCTACGGTAGGCTCAAAGACGGATGCGGGCTCTCGGAAATTTAGAGCAGCCAATACAGTACGGGTGAACTCTGCCGGACAGAGAATCGATGAACACCTCCGACAACCAAACCAGCAAGCTTTAGATAACTGGAATCATAAGATTGGCATAGTCGGCATGCGGTATTGCCGCTCATACCACCTATGTGGATTGTGCTCAAACTCTTCCTGTAGGTATTCCCATGGTCCGCTATCAGAGGGGGAAAAGTTGGTTTTTCGACGGGAGGTCAGGATGGAAGTGTGCCATGCTGGCTTGGAATGTCGTGATGTTGCTTGCTTATACGGCCACAACTGTTCATGCAACAAGCCCACATGCAAGTTTTCTCCAGAAATGCACAAGGTTGATGTTTCTCTGGCTAAAGTCTGAGGATATTTTTGTTTGGGGGTGGAGGGTATGGTATCGGGCTTATCAAATTTGTTTGTAAGAAGTAAACTTTGTTAACTCGCTCCCCAATATTTAAATCAGAAATCATCATAGTCAGGGTAGTGCTGTTGTTATATTTTTGAATAGTATTAGTATCTGCTCTGCTTTTTACCGGCATATCATTTTTGCAATTCACAGTACGTAAACATCATAATCCGAACCGAGAGGAACCGATGTGATAACGTATAATGGCCGGCGGTGTTTAGCCAACAGCGAGAGATGTACGGCGTACGGTCAAATGTGACTCTTGCCCTGTCAAACATCAAGTCTAGCCCATGGAGGATGATCTGTAGCTGGGCCTCAGTTTCGGCAGAGCTCCACATAGGGCTTCCTTGCCATTGAACAAGCAGGTAATTTCTACTCCATTGCGGGGCTGGTTGCTTCGCCGTAGCGGCGATAATTGCGAGGGATCTATCACGGAACAACTCGACCCAGCCGGTGTGCCGGAGCCACGGGGTCGTCTCGCTCGCTCCAGTAAATGCCACATAATTAGTTTGAGTGCTTTCGAATGGGCGTTTCATGATGTATAGATCTCGATTTCAAGATTAATGTTGGCAAGGAGATGATGGTGACAAGATTTCTYAACTCGTTGAGTTCATACATCCTAACAGACGGCCAGGATACACGTTACACGCGCGTCGATGCGATTTTATCATTTACACAGCTTGAAGTCGAGAGACTCTTCAAGTGAAAAAGCAAAGCCAACCAATGAGATAGCGAGATGRCCGCTTTGGCTTGAACTTTGTTTTGGGCATATTATTGAGAAGCCTCTTTCAGGTGAAAGTGGAATGTGGGGTCATTACAGGGATCATCAGCCAATAACAATGCAAATCGTCCACTTTCAGTGAAATTGGGAGAATCCATAGAGATGTAGAGTCTTTGTTTAGACGCGGAAGGACTGGATATATTGGTAGCAGGATAAAGCTTAGAGGACCTCAGTGGGTAGCTCTAAAAGAAGACGGTGTGTTCAATGGCGTTTTTGACGCAAGACGTCCGGAAACATCGGAAGATATAGTGGTGCCTGCTTCCAACATCTCACCAAAGCTATGTGAAGAACAGCAAAATCTGGTGGACTTGATTCTGGATGGACGCAATGTCTTTTTCACCGGCTCAGCAGGCTGCGGCAAGTATACTGTTTTAGAAGCTGTCGTCAAAAAGCTAAAAGCAAAACACAAACAAGTTGACGTCATTGCTCCCACTGGTCGGTCTACACTTCAAGTCCACGGCATGTCGACTTGGTCTTACACGGGCTGGACACCCGACTCTCGCAAGTATTCTCTAGAAAAATTGAAAAGCCAGGAATTTCGCACCTACGTCGCGGCTCGTCTGAGGCGTACTGAAGTTCTTATCATTGATGAGATTAGCATGGTTGAGAATCACCATTTGGAACTCATAAATATCTGTATAAAGGAAGATCAATGCTGGAATTCGAATCACGGAGGTCCCGCTAGCGACGCTCCTGCCTTTGGAGGAGTCCAAGTGGTTGTGACAGGAGACTTCTGCCAACTACCTCCTGTGAGAGCTAACCCCAAGTGTGGTGTTGGGGTTATGTTCAGCCAATCAGCTACTCGGCTTCGACCAAATTTCTGCACCCCGTAACCCCCATTTTGGTGGCCGATTCGATCCAAATCGCCTCTTGATAGTTCCAATCAGTACCTGATGTTGGCCTCAGGCACCTCAGGCTGAACGTTAAGTACGTGCTTGCCCCTCTTTCTTGGCCTAAGTTTACCATCCCGACAATCGTCATTTTCCAAGGTGAATTTCTATCTTACGCGAGGATGTCAGCCAAACCTATTGTAATCGATCGTAAAGGTGATACTTTGGTCATTCTTACAACTAAAGATTCGCACCCTGGTTGCTCATATTCTGCCCCGAATAATGACCCTGATTGTCAGCCCGAAATCCACTTCTTGTGTTCGAAGAAGCATCTTGCACTAGCATCGCAACGCGCTGACAGGATGTTCGACAGTGGCTTTAAAGAAGCCACACCAGAAAGGGCCGATGGCCTTTACCACTGGAAATTCGATGCAATATTCGATCCAACAGCTTTCGAGATTGTGTTGAAGATCATTCATGGAAAGAACCGTGACATCCCTCAAGCAGTTGACGTACAACTCTTGGCTGGTATTTCTGCTGTCGTCGATGACTTGGAATGCCACGACGTTCTTTGGTTTTTTGCTAAAAGATGGCTTGCAGTCCTAAGCCAAGTTAATGTGTTAAAGACGCAAAAAGATGTCGCTCAACGTATTCTTATTTCGTTTGTCTTCCATGACCCAGTCATGTTTGAAGCTTCCACAAAAACAGCCATAACAGGGTACTGGGTTTTCACACAAACGCCCGGCCTTCCAATACGTCCAAAAATCCTTAGTAGGTCAACGTTTTGACTATCCTCCTGGTCACATAAAGGGCTAACTAAACCAGATGAGATTCAGAAAAGGAGAGAGAAAGCTCTAGCCAAATTAGTGGATGGGTTGTACGATATAGAACGAAAGCTACTTAACCAAAAGCTTGGGTGTAACCCCGGGTGCAGAGCCATGTTGCTTGGGACCTTGATCCAAATAATGGATGAGTATGATTTATACTCGCCACGGCCAGCCAAACCGTTCTACTCCTTGGATCTCAAGACAATAACCAAGTCCATGGGCAAATTTCAATTACCGGAGTACTACAGTCCACTAAATGAAAGCCCTATTGGGGACTATTCAGGCGTCTGGAGCATATCTTCGTACCCTTCCAGGTTAAGCAGTCAGGGACGAAGTAGCCAATCTGGCTGGGGGTTTTCTAATAGCGAGACAGAGGCACCTCAAAGACTTGTGCAACATCACTGCTCCTTACGAGGTTCCATTGATAGTCTGTTACAGACCGCGGAAACTGAGGTGAAAGGCTTGGGCCTGGCTGAGTATTCTCCCTGCCAGTTTTCGAACCGCGATATACATTAGCCAAGGAGGAATCATCTCCTTGGATAATGGGCTCCTTCATGGGAAATATCAAGTCGTTACGGTATTTGAAAAGCTCATCTTTAGATGTGAGAAGCGGCTAGCAGCTACATAGACTATCCCAATTGCTTTTGTCTTTTGATCCAGCCCGATTGTCGAAACATTCGATTGTGCAGGCTGACAAGTTTTTTGCCTGTAAGGAGGTTTTACCATATGCTGGCTATAAAAAGTCCATCTCTGCCACAAAGATCAGTGAACCTTTTCTGGGCCTAAAACGGTTAAAACTATAACGAGTGGAGAAACGGGACCCATTCCCAGATGATCCTTATTTTACTCGGAAATGAGATGGAGTTTAGGAACAGGGCCCGTTCCCAGGCTGGTAGTAAACAAGGACAATTGGAATAAGATGATTGGTGTAGAAACGGGAATGGGCCGCGTTCCTGATGGAAATACATGGTAGGTGGAGGTGGGGGAGGTAAACGGAACTCTAGGGTAGGCGACAGACGTCGAGTATGAGACGCAGGACAAACACCACAGAGCTCATCACTTTCCATACACCACAGCCTCAACGAGAAATGTGGCAATCTGCGATCAAAGTCGCTGCTTAGAAGAACCTAGAGTCAAAATACATCAATTTTTCATATTTGTTCCTTTCACGTTTTCAATATTATATTCTGCGCTCCAGGTCCCCTAAGTAAGTGAACCAGCACATATCTACAATGTTTATCAGAATATAATACGTGTATAGTTGTAAAAGGAACATGTATCAGTACGGACAAAATTCCGCATTTCACCTACGTCAAAGTTAGCTATGATACCATGAACAGCATGAATCTTACATATGCCAAATGAAATTGCGAGTTTTGCCTCACACTTGGAAGCCAATACAGAGAACACGTCAGTTCTTAAGTCGCAGGCACTATAAAATAGTACAGAGAAGTCATGCTCGACTTTGTCGAAGATATATGTCCACTCGTACAGCTCGTCCATTTTTGCATCACTATTCCTGAGATTTTGGCAGAAACGGCTTACGAGCAAGTCAAAATCAGATTGAGTTACCACTGTGTCTGTATGGCTGCATTCCATCCAAACTCCTTGATCCACCCTCGCTGTGCCATGTGGTTTTGGGGTCACCAAACCACCAACAATAAAGTCCACAAGCGAAATGAAAAGAATAATACCGAAAGTCTTCATGTTTATGTTGAAAGAGAGCTAATAACTGGAAAAGATCGGTGTTTATTATTCCAGGTAGGTATTAAATAGTCTATCATTAGATAGGCTGTTTGGACAAAATAGGCTGAGAACTTGGAGGAAAAAAAAACAATTTACCACCTCATAGATCTTTTCTAAACTCGGTTCATATCCAATCGGGGACATAGATAATATTTCTTTACTACCAAAACAGGTATCATTGTACCATGTCACTTCTATAGCCACTCCAATAAAGTTTCCATGCCATCAAAGCTGCACGAGGCAATGATGGCCCACGGAACTGGCGTAAACGGCCGAAAATGTCGATAATTGGAAGCCATTGATTATAAACATGCTTTATTTAGTATAAGTAAAATGAAATCATTATGTAAAAATAGGTTCAGTCATGTCTTAGATAAAATCAGCCAGTAATATATATATTTTACTTTTATCGCGAACGACGCAGTTACAAATCTGAGAAGAGCTTTGCCAGAAGTTTAGCCGCCTAAAAGTTTCTTCTATTTATTATCCAAGTCAACAAAACAAATATTTGGAATCTATTTTCAAAACCTATGAATGGATAGAACCTCTCAAACCACGATATATAACTCCTGTCTCGATGTTCCCCGAAAAGGAAGGGTCTTATATCTACCTGTTCTTACTTAGGGAAAAGAATAAGCCACATAATGAATTGATACTCTCTGATTATGGATACTACCTAACCTACCTTGACAAGGACCTCGAGCGGGCCAGAACCTCACTTTTCAAGACGATTAGGAAATCACTTCACTCCTATGCCCCTGGGAAAGATCCCTGGGAAATGCCCAAGCAATTATCAGGGCACTTACAGAATACCCTCCACGGTATAGCAGATTCAGCTTCATCCCAGGAGAGAGCAAGATAAGGACCACCATGTTCAAGTACCAATGCTCTGATGATCTCCTTGAATGCTTGTGCATTCTGGAAGAGGTATGCCGCGACAGTAAGAAGCATTAAATTGCCAGCTTCATCACTAGAGGTTCGAAGCCAGGTTTCGCTTGCAAATTTAAGAGCATTAACGCAATCATACTTGTCTGTAGCGACAGCAACTGCGAGGACATCGCCAGCGGCGAGGGTTCGAGGGACTTCTGTGTTCCGATAGTGAATAATGGAACAGATAATTTCAAACGCAGCGGCATTATCGTCAGGCAGCGATAACTCGAATGGTCCATCACGATCGCGCATATCATGACCCTCCTTCCAGTTTGGCCCGAACATGGAGGAGAAGGGTTTTGAGGCTTGCTATCAATAACATAGAACGGACACGGAGTTTTGTCTCCTCCGGTCCGACTATCAGAAAAAGGTCGCCATTTGGAGCAATTTCGACAACTGTGTTCGTCTGGGTTTCTCTTGGATTTTCTATGCTGGTTTCTAAGACCTTGTCACTATCACGAAATGGCGTCGTTGACAAGGCAGACTACTGGTGTGTTGTTGATGGTCGTGGGTACCCCGCATTATATGACGCGGCGTCACGTCAGCATTATATAACGCAGGCTGAATTCACGTATTTGAATACGTCTCAAAGCATTGAAATTACTTTACATACTAACATGTTCCGCTAGCGAGTCCCTACCTTGGTCGATATGAGCTACAACGCTATACTAACGAATCTTCGTACGTTCAGTTTTCTGGGCGAC